AGCCACGACAAATGGAAATGTTCAAAGACATGACCCCAGACATTTACTGAGGAGTACAAGCCATAACAAGTGTACAATTTGGAATGGTTAATTAAATGACTGTTCCCAAACATGGCAGTTAAGGACAGCTTTGAGGGTCACTCTCCTCTACATTCTCAATAATTCTAGGAGTCTAACTTTCCCCTAACTATATTTTTCTTTTTTGCTTTTAATGTGTACATTTAAAAAATAGAACTCCTCAGATAAATCTATTTTCAGAATAAAAGAGAAACTGCTCTATATTACTTTTGGGGTTGATAAAAAAAATATCCTAAGATTGGATTAGACCAGTGGTTGTTTAACTCTATTAATATATTTTAAAGCATTGAATTGTAACTCTAAACAAGTGAGGTTTACGGTATGTAAGTTATATCTCAATAAAGCCACTCTTTTAAAAAAATAAGTTACTAGAGTAGAAAAAAAAATCACTGAAAGATTTCCACCACTTTAAGAACACAAGGCAGAGTGTCTCTGCAGAGAGCTGGGTGTGTGCCTGTGCACAGAAGGGCTATGTGATGCTGTGGCTGGGACGTGAGTGGTTTGCTCAGATGGCATTTACAGAGGTGCCACAGGAAGGTTTAAGTGGGCCATCCATTGCCATAGGCAAGGGGGTGTTGGGAGTAGCTCTGCAGATCTGGTGGCAAAATGAAAGAAAGGCATTTGTTTCATTGGGAAAGACGCAGGAGCTGCTCTCCATGGAGAGCCTGATGCAGGGAACAAATGTCCCCGGGAGGCAGCGAGGCAGAGCACGTGTTCCTGGCAGGGAAGGGAGGAACAGGAGCCCTTCTTCACTCACCTTCCGGGTCATCCTTTCCAAGGCTCCCAGCACTTTGGATGGGCATGAGCTTTCCTAGGGCTCCCTCAACCTGCTTGATGTACAATTCTCTTAATTAATTTCAAGGGGATCCATCATTGTAGGTATGTTAGGTGGGTTCAAAGAAAGTGTGTGTGTTCCCTTCATGTGTGCAGGCACCTTGAGACTCCCCTTCTGCCTTGGGACTGTGGGACTGTCGCTAGAGTTCTGGGGCTCCACAAATTGGCAGAGACATGGAAATTCTGAAACTATTTTTAGAAAATTCTTACAATGATGAAGGGAGCAAGCGAGGAGCCTCAGCGCTCCATTCCCTCCTGTGCAGGACCTTACTGAGCTCATGCTCCCCTTCCACGAGCGATGTGTCTACTCTGGCTACAGTCAGCATCGGCCCTATAGAGACAGATGTCAACAACACTGTCCTTGGCATCAAAGGCTATATAACCCATGGGAATGGCATCAGACAGTCCCCAAAGACTTCAACACAAACCCTCCCACCAGAGAGGTACAAATGAAGTGCTGGCTCTCAGAAGTTGAGGGAAGCACCAGCCACTGGAAGGGCCATGAAAGGCTTCTGAGCAAGTGGCACTAGAGACACATAATATTTCCAGGTGGAGGTGATGGGGTGACCTGAGTGAAGAACTGGTGTGATCACATCTGGGCACAGGAAATAAAGAGCAAGTGACCTTTTAGGATGGAGGATAAGGAATTCACAGGAAGTGGGCCTGGACAGGCATACAAGGACTATACCTGCCTCCTGAATTCCACAGGTTGTGGACGAGCCTCTGGGGCTCAAAGGCTAATAATCAAGACTTCTCTGCTGAAGATTTTTACTGCCCATAGTTGGAGAGGGACATCTGAATTCCCTCTCAGGTTTCAATTCAATGCACTGTGATATGTTAGTGCAGAGCTGGTACTCTACTGGGGGTGGGGGTGAAATAAAGTCACAGTTTGCATTTTTAAGAATCTTGTGGATTGCAGACAGGGGAGAGAGATGCAAAAAGCTCAGACACTGACACTCAGCACATCCCATGAGTATTGAAAGGAGAATCACATAAGTCTTGACAAAGTGCTCTGATTTTCCAAATGGGGGTTCTACCTAACCTGTGAAATTTCAAGAACAGGGATTAGGCCTTCTTTATCTATGTGTGGCCTGGGTCTAGCTCAGTGCCTGACACTTGGTAGACATTCATTAAATAAATAAATTAATGAATAAATGATTGAACACTTCTCCTACCAAGCATTATCTGCCCAGGATGTCTGTCATAAGTTCACATGGCACAGCCTAACTTTGGTTCATATTGTTCCTCTTCTCCTACCCATACTTTGCTCACCTCAATTCTCCTTCCCTCACAATATCCAGCCCACACTGTCTGCCTGGACTCTGAGTCTTTCAGTAATGACAGTCTGTGCTGCATAATTTAAGTATCCTGTATTCCTCGCAGTTGCTTGCTGTGTGCTAGTCATGCAGCCTCCCTTCTAAAGTGATTGCATCACTCATGACACTTAAAATATATTAACTGCTATGCAGTCACTGGAGTAGCGGGCAGACACTGATGTCATGGAGTGTTGGACATGGTGCTGGCGCTGCACACACAGTCACAAAAGGCCTGGGTAATGTATTCCGGCAAAAAGAAATCTGGAAGACAGAACAATTTTGCTGTCTGAAAGCTTTTGACACAGAGGCCCCGAACTCAGGGCTCTACATATCTAAGGACAGAAGAGGAGAAATTATCTGTCTTGCAGCACGTGGAATGGATGAATGTGAAATTAAGCACTGGAATGAGTTGCTGCCAGAAGCCATGAGCCCTCCCTCTCTGAAAAATCCTTAAACACAGAGGGGATCATTTGTCCAGGAAGCCGAGACTGCAGGATGAGCTGACCTTCTCTTGAGTAGTGGCAGGTGGAGTGTCTACCCTCACGGTCCTTGACAGAGTTGCACAGAAGAAAGGACACTTTTGGGTAAAGTGTCTTAGAGAACTGTTGGTTTACCCTTTTGCTTTATGATTTTCTTATGCAGTTGAACAAGGTTCAGGGAGATTAGCTGACTGCAGACAGAACTATGCCTGGGTAGAGAAATAAGGTAGATTCTCATTACCACCCAGCTCATTTTCTCAAGAATTATAAATTCCATGGTCAGATAATGACCCTCAAACCTTTTCAATACATCCTGTAAAAGGCAGATACAAGGCCTTCTGCATTAGACAGTACGTTCCTTGCAGTGATTAATTCTTCCTCCTTAGCCAAATTATCCAGGTGGGTGTCAAATCCAATTATTTATCTAGGATCTCCTGATAGAAAGTGCTCAATACACACCTGAATTACAACTAACTTTACACAATGATTTGCAAGTGCTTTCCCCCACGTTTCCTAATTTAATACAACAACCCTGAAAAGCAGGTACTATGATTAACTCCCATTTTCCAAATAAGGAAATTAATGTTCAGACAGATTAAGAGGCACATCCAATATACAGCCAACAAAGGAGAGTTCTTTCCAATACAATTTGCTCCTTGAATGAACTGTTGTGGGGGTGGTGAGGGGAGGGGTAGTCAGCTCAGTCTTTCCTCCCTGAAAAAAGTAGCAGCTCAGTTCCTTCCCTCCAGACACCTAAGTACTATTCCATGGAGCAACGAATACCGTCCTACATCAGAGTCAGGCACACTAAATGCAAGATACATTGAATGAATGATACAGTCGATGTGCTGCATGAAGTCAGCGGAAAGCATATACCATAAGGGGAGGAAGAATCTTCCCTTCATTAATCCAGGGCCCCTGGTTGTAAAGCATGTGGGTCCTAGACGCCACAGACATGCCCTCATGAGGATTTCAGTCCATTGCAAGGTACACACGTAAAACAACTAATTTTACAGCAAACGATTCACAATTCGGTTAAATGCCAAAGTGTGTAGCAGGGTACTCTGCACTGGTCGGAAGAAAAAGCGATTTGTGCTCAGTGTGATGAGGGTGGCTTCTTTCCATCAAAGGAGGCTACCTTTAGATGAGCAGAACCTCCAAACACAAGACAAATTAAAAGGGCCAAAAGGAGAAAGAAAATTGCTTCCCATAAACAGAACTTCATCATGGGACTGCAACTCTCCCATTGCCTAGCTACCCACCTGCAGAAGAGCAGGAAAGAAAAAGCGAAGGCCAGAGAGCGGGAGGCCAGTTTGTGTAAGCAGGGCGGGGAGGAGAGCCGAGACGAGATCCGGGACCGAGAGAGTTAAGCGGGACCCGCCCGGAACCGAAGGGGTTACGCGGGGCGGTCCGGAGCGCGTCC